ACAATGGTATACAACCTATTGTCTGGGAACTCAGACAGCATCACGATGATTGCCAGCAAAACCTTCACCAACCATTGGATGGCATCCCCGCGGGGAAGCCACCTAACGTAGTGAATACCCTGCAGCTGAAGCGCCGTCGAGAGGAAGACATCCTGAAGCTCGAGAAAGCATTGATGCCACGGCCCCGAGCGTCCGAGAAACTCAGCGAGCTTTCGGATGACATCGTCGATCATCATGAAGGCGGGGAGGTCATCGGCCGCGGTTTTAGCGGCCAGAGCCTCGCTGTGAAAGGACGTGCACATAATATGAATAGTTGAAGGGAGAGTTAGACAAGGCAAGAAATACATGGCTACTCTCCAGGCCAAAATACGAATGAAAAAAACCCCATGGTTACCGATGCGCTATGCAGTGGCAGGAGACAAGGCGGTGAATGCGCAGTCGGAGACGAGTAACAAGTCCAGACTTCGCGCCCATCATCACTGCTGCCCCGTCAGTGCTGATGCTAGAGATCCGACAAAGATCCACTCCGATGGCCTGGAGGTGGGAGAGCAACAACGCCAGAAGGGAGGCAGCATTCGCCTTGTCGACTGTAAGAAGAGCCAGGTACTCCGTGACCACCCGACGCTCACGAAGGAAGGTTGCGAACACGATCATGTGCTTCCCCCGGCACCTATTTGTGCTCTCGTCCAGGCTGAGCCCGATGAACGGGCTCCGAAGATGATGCTCCAGTTGAGTTGTCTGAAGCCATGTAGCCGTGGCCTGCGTGAATTCTCCGAAGCCGTTCCTACAAATGGAAAAAGAACACCAAGTACCAATCATTCAATTTGACGACTCACGAGTTCAGGTAGGTGCCTTAACCTTCCTCGGGGACGTTTATGTAGAACCGAGAGGCGAGGTAGCGTGCAAATGTGATCCATGTCTCCATCGGTTCGTTCGTCCTGCAGCAGAGGTAGAGAGAGTCGAGAAGCGCTGTCAGCCGTTCCTTCTCATGATCAGCGGCACGGGGATTCTGGTCGATCCTCGTCTGTGTCATTGCCTCCTGCATCAGAGCAGCCTGCTTCCCATAGGCGAGACGTCGCTTCCCAATGCCAGCATGTCTGGTGAAGGCTTGTGTCTGGGCGTCCGAGAGACCACCACGGCGTCCGCTCTTCCCTGAGAGACCTGCATGGTCCATACACAACTAACACTTGAAGGCCGGGAGGCCTTCTTCAGTCTTGACAAGGAAAAACGTCGCTCCATTTTTTCTTGTATTTACTGAGCGCCTCTGCGTACTGCTCAGCTGGGGTTCTCGCCAAATTCATAGTCGTCGGCGTGTCGTCATTTGACTCTGCATCGTCGGAAGCGGGGTTGGATGGTGGGGACACTTTGCTAGCCTGTTTGGGCCATGCGAATGGGAGAACAGCCTGACGGTAGCGCCCAGGGCGCTTAGCAGGTCCAGCCGTGGGCGACGGATGCTCGGCGGGAGCAGGCGTGGAGGGACCAGGCTTAGGATCAAGGACATGCTCTACGACGGCAGCAGATACGGAATCGCCGACGGTATTTTCATCTGGTTCCTCCTGGCCGAGACGTGCAGTTCCTCTAAGAGGCATGCGCGTAAGGCCAGATAAAGTCGACAGCAACAGGTCCAGGCCAGTGGTGAGGTCCGCACGCTGGCCGTCATCTGCGTCGCCAGCGGCCGGTTCCCCGTCGATTGGCTCTACCATGACGGGGTGAGGCACAACTTTAGAGGAGCTACTGATTGAAGAGGGAATGGCTACACGAGGAATGAAAAACCTGGGGGAGATAGGCAAGTAACACAGCAGCTGAAGATGAAGATGAACAAGATGGGGGTAGCTTGTGGGAATGGATCGGGGTGCGGCACGGTGACCTTGGTGGGCAAGGTTCAGGAATCCACTCGTAAACGCAGCGCTGGCAGGCAAGATGCTGTGCACACACGTCGGTGACGTCAGTGTGCCAGCAAAATGCAAGGCCACTGTAAGTTGCCAGTTCTCCATTGGTTGCTGTACCTGTGATTTCTTGGTGTCCAACCACGTCGCGCAGTAATGCTCTATGCTGGCGACAGCACATGCTGTCAAACACTCGTCGCCCTATCCCTTAGCTGCATCGCATTATGTGCTGGCGGAAAAATTGCCACCACGACGCAGATTTTGGTGGGAGACTATATACTAGGATGTAGAACGGAGTCAGGCCAGAGCGAACGATGAGAGACGGGGCAGCAGAGGATGCAAAGAACTGGAGGTCCGCTAGAGTAGCACGCAGCATATTGTGCCACTCATCGGGCAACTGCCGCAAACCGTAAACCAGGCACCGGAGGAACCATTCCGTCCCAGGCAGGGCCCAAAATTGGTTTTGGGCCGCCCTTTCACACAGGGTACCTAAATCTGGTAGTCTGATTTATCAGGGTAAACATTTTGCATCTTTGTTTACACAGGGTATATTTAAAACCACCCTGTTTTTTATTGCCCTTTAAAGCCATTGACTGCAATAGCGATTGTCTTATATTGCTGGCTTGACGAAATGTTTAGTGCGACACGATTGACGAAAATGCGACTCGAGCGAGTTGCGCGTGGGGGGCGAAATTGGAGGGGTGGGCAAGGGCAGGTAAGGGCGTGTGTCGTGTAGTGTCGGAACCCTGCAAGTTCCGCAACTGGGACTGGTCATATGGTTCACAGCTCATTTCGATAAGGCTTCGCAAGCTCCTCCCCGGGAGAAATCTTCGTCAATTCTGGAGCCAGTTCCGGAATTTCCAAAGGCAGAACTGTAAGACACACACCCTAAGGAAATTTAGTGGATGACAAATTTGGTGAAGGGCCAATGAACGCTCTCTCACATCCTCCAGGACACATCGGCAGAAACGTTTGAAAGTTCAATCGGTTTCCTTACACCTCCTCCAGTAAGATTGGGAGCAAATCTGGCCAAGGCCAATCAGCACCTCCCCTCACACGGCCCTAGCCCACATCGAGCGTTTATTTTGGCAAAGGGCCTGTTAGCCCTCTCACACAGCCCCAACACACATCGAGCGTTGATTTTGGCTAAGGGCCAGATAGCACCCTCACCCAGCTTGCATCACGCATCTGGCGCTGATTTTGGCTAGCCAGACAAGGCTTTAAGGGTAGTTGCCTTGCTGCCCTGCTTCATCAAGCCTAACTAAAATATTTGGACTAGGGTTATAAAATCGCAAACCCTGATAAATCAGCCTAACTAAAAAACTACCTTGAAAATCAGGATAATCAGGGCATTTCACCCCGAAACTTTGGGCCCTGGTCCCAGGAGGGAAAGAGCCAGTGAAGCCTAGCGGACGACGCATGTAGATCTGCTCGTGCAGGCAACCCTCGAGGAACGCAGTCGAGAAGTCAAGAGAGTGGAGCTCATAGTCACGTTGTGCTGCTACGTGAAGCAGTGCCCGAAGAGTGGTCATCTTCGGGTTAGGGGCGAAGGTCTGAAGGAAGTCCATACCCTCGCACTGACTGAAGCCTCTAGCATCGTAGCACGCATTGAACACAGACGGCTCTCCAAGCGAGCGCTTCACATTGAAGAGCCACTGGCCATCGACTACGTTTGTCCTAGGTTGTGTCGACGTACGTGCCGGTGGATCTCCAAAATGCCATCTCTGCGTCCATGGCAACTATCAATTGAGAGGCCCAGGGTCCCGTAATCGCCTCAGCGTAGGTGCGAGGGGTCAGGATTTCAAGAGCGTCTGGGTCACCCTCAGGGGTTAGCAGCATGGAGCAGAGATGAGGAGCGGCCTCTAGAACGTGACTGCCAAGGGCAGGTGCACCCACGACAGACGGAGGATGGGCAGGGTCGGAGACCAGAGCAGTGGCGTAGTCAAGGCGGCGGGCAGAGGCAAAGTCAGCGATGGCAGCAACAAGAGTCGAGAGACTGGAGACAGGAACGGAAGGGTCGGCAACGAGAGAGGCTAGGACACGAGGAACAAGAGGGCGAGCAACACGGAGGAGATCAGAGAGAGGCGGAGTGGAGGCATCGAGGGACGACTAAGGAGGCGACGGGAAAAGAGGGGTGGGAGGTGCACGAGACACGTTAGAACGGAGAAACATAGGGTGGACACTCGGAACGGGAGAGGCGGGGCGAGCACGAGAGTGTCACAGGATCGAATGTGTCGAGGAAAGGTTGCATTATCGATTGATACAAGGCGCTTTTTTACTTCCGAAGTACATCAGGTAGCCAGGTTTATCTTATCCCAAGGGAATAGACCCTTCTAGAAAATAGAATCACCCTGCGTATAGCCACGCGGGGCTATTGGGTTTAAGGGATTACGGCAGGATTACGCTAGATATAGCGTACTAGTACATCTCGAGCTTGGTCGGTGATATAATGATAATAACAGGATAAACCAAAGGTTTATGGAAAAGAAGAAATAGGAATCCAAAGGGAATGAGATAAAAAAGGAATGAAATGGAAAGGAGAAAGGAATGGAACGGGGTCGTACTCTCACACTTCCCCCCCCTCAAAGCTAGGTGGTAGACATAACACCCTGCTTGACAAGGTAGTCGCGAAGAGGACGACGAGCGTGATCCATCTCGGATTCAGAGACCCAGCTATCCTCTGAAGGATCATAACCCTTCCAATGGATGAGAAGCTCCACGGTGCCATTCCATCGACGGCGGTGAGCAAGCACGGACTCGACTTCGTACTCGGGTTCATCATGCTCGAGGACAGGCGGCGGCGGCGGCGGTTGGCGTACATAGAAGACCGTGTTGGGATCTCGGCAGGGCTTCAAGAGTTGGACATGGAAGGCGTTGTGAATCTTCCAGGTAGCTGGTAGGCGTAAGCGGAAGGTAACAGGAGTGATCTGTGCTTCAACAAGGAAAGGCCCGCAGAAGCGAGGTCGCAGTTTGGATGGGAGATGGCTGATGTCAAGATTGCGCGTGTCGAGTAGTACTCGGTCTCCCATGGTGATGGTGTGGTCCGTGCGGTGGCGATCGGCCTGGCGCTTCTATTGCTGCTGAATGTCAAGAAGGCGCTTGTGGGTCCGATCCCAAAGTTTGTGCATGGTCGTGATGAAATCATGAGCGGGTTGGACTGTGGCTGGTATGTTTGGCTGTTGAGGTGTGAGTGGGTGGCGTCCGTAACAGGGGAAGAACGACGTCACTCCAGTGGCGGCGTGAGTAGCATTGTTGTAGGCAAACTCCAGGACGGGCATATGCAAGTCCCGTTTGGAGATGTCGTCCTTGCAGGCTGCGCGGAGGAGTTGCTCCACAATTTGGTTGAGGCGCTCGATCTGTCCATCTATCTGCGGATGGTAGGCGGATGACATGGCGAGTTTGGTCCCGTTGTTGAAGTTGCCGAGTTGGATGCATTCGAAGAAGGAGTTCAGGGTTTTTGCAGCTTCTTGTAGACCCCCAACTTCCTCTTGAGCTGCTTCAGCTCCACCGACGTCTTCCCTGGGGAACAGGTAGTCGCAGTGGGCTGGTGTCGAGAGAGGACGTTGACTCCGTGGAAAGGTCGGCTTCTTTCCACACTCCTTAATGTGGTCCCCAAGTTCCGGTACCGGTATGATCTCCACAATTTTTTGCTTCTTCTGGAGTCACTCCCGAATTTTCTCCAAGGCTCTAGCCCCTCGCGAATTACAAGTTTTCATTAAAGCATCTTTATAAGATAACTTTAACGATCCTTACAATTTCTTGGGTCTTCCAGGAGTTTCCCCGCCTTGGCAGAGTCCTTTTTCGCGGAGTTGGATTTTTCCTAGGCGATTTCCTCTGGCAAAGACTGGTCGTGGGGTGGAGATTTTTCCCCATCATTTTCTCTTCTTCGCGTCGAATCAGTTGCGTCGAAGTTGATTTTTCCGGAAGTCCGCGGCCGCTTTTGGATCTTTCCTTTTTCGCCACCTAGATCCGCAATCACTGGCGAGCCCCATTTTTTGGAATCTGATTGGCCAAAGGATTTCCGCCACTGTTGCGTGCCCGATACTCAGCGCGTGCGGCTTTCATTTTGTTGCAGTCGAAGATTTGATGACCCGGCACCCCGCAAAATCACACGTGTAGTTGGTGTTTTTCGGACGTGGCCGCCCTTCAAACCTGTCGACTTCCATCGGGTCAGCGAACGTGGTGTGGGCCGAGCGGTCGCCCTGTCGCGTACTGCCGACGTGCGTCCGTCGTGTCCCAGCGTTGACCATGTCGAAGCGTTCCGCGGCAGATACGACATCACTGTAGCTCGCGTAGTTTGTCGCTGCCACTTGTCGTTTGACTTCGGTCTTCAGCCCGGCAAGGTACGACTGTACCTTTTCCCCTTTGGTCAGGTTGGGAATACGGTTATAAAACTTCTCCATCTGCTGCGTGTACTGCGCTACACTCCCGAACTGTCGGTGTCGATGATTTTTTTCCCGGGCAAGGAAACCCGAATTTATCGGCTCGAAATGTTTCAGCAGGTCGGTGCAGAACTGCTGCCACGTGGCTTCGCCGTGGATGAAGGTGCTGTTACCGCCGATCCACTCGAGTGCCGGTCCTCGCATCAGTGTCGCGGCGAGTCGTACAAGTTGACCGTCCCAGACTGGCGAGCTCCATCAGATGGCTGCGAAGTAGATCTCCATGCCGGCGATCCATCTGCGGACGTCGGAATTTTGATCGCTCGGATCGAACGGCTCAGGTGGGCGCGGTTTCGGAGCCTCAAGAAACTGTTGCGACTACTGCGTCGTCGCCGTTGTCGTTTCGTATTGCGCGCTAGCGAGTCGAGTTACTCGCTCGAACTCTTGTCGCCAAGCTTCGCGGTCGGCTCGCATCTCCTCCTGTAGGGCGGCGATGCTTGCGAAGAGCTGCTGGGTAATTTCGGCGTTGTCGAAGTTCGCCATCCTGTTCAAAACACGCGCAGAGGGGGTAATTCGAAAAAACGTGGAGCTAGTGCTTACCAGAATCGGCGTCGAACTGGTCGCCCCTGGCGGTTTTTCGAGGCAGGTTTTCCCGCTGCTGCTGCTTAGCTGAGCGCGACCGTGTGAGAAAAGCCCTGATTTCCAAGGGTCACATGATCGAATGTGTCGAGGAAAGGTTGCATTATCGATTGATACAATCCGCTTTCATACTTCCAAAGTACATCAGGTAACTAGGTTTATCTTATCCCAAGGGAATAGACCCTTCTAGAAAATAGAATCACCCTGCGTATAGCCATGCGAGGCTATTGGCTTTAAGGGATTACGGCAGGATTACGCTAGATATAGCGTACCAGTACATCCCGAGCCCGGTCGGTGATATAATGATAATAACAGGATAAACCAAAGGTTTATGGAAAGGAAGAAATAGGAATCCAAAGGGAATGAGATAAAGACCAAATGAATCGAGATAAAAAAGAGGAATGAAATGGAAAGGAGAAAGGAATGGAACGGGGTCATACTCTCACAGAGAGGGACAATGAGACCAGAAGTGGGAGGGAGGCATCGGGTCAGGAGACAAAGGAGGAGAACGAGGGGGGAAACGAGTCGGAGACGAGTCCGGCGGAGGGAAAATGGGGCAATATACAAGAGGAGGAGGCGGCACAAGGGAAGACACGGGGGTTGGTCAGGGTAGGCAATGGGAAGACCGAGGAAGCGAAGGGCGGACTCCGGCTGCTACTGCTGCTGCAGCAGGTGCTGCTGTCGCTGCAGCTCCGTGCCACACCAAGTCCTTTAGCTCCACCGCGGCTACCGCCGGTACTCTCCAAGACAGCACCTCTAGGATCAGCACCCCAAGGACCAGCACCCCCAGAACTAGCACCCCCCTCGGAACCAGAACCCTCAGCGCCAACACCCCTAGAGCCAACCGGTCCCTGCTGCTGCTGCGGCGGCGGCGACAGCGACTGCTGCGGCGGCGGCAAAGGCACTGGGGCTGGGGGTACATGCACGGCAAAAACAAACGGCGCACCCAATACCCCAGGTCCCCCATAGTCAGCAGACTCCTCCACCGGGTCGACCAAGGGAAGGGGAGTGACGCGAGACACACCAGGCGGGGCAGGACGCGGAGGGAGGGGAGCGAGCGCTACCGGGGGAGTGGTGACAAGGAACAGGGGCGGGGTAACTGGGAGACCTCGGTGGGGGAAGCGGGCATAGAAGGAGACAGACTCGTCAAAGGTGTCGTCACGCGAGTGGAGGAAACAGTGAAATGGTGGGTGGTAAAAGTGTCAGCAAGGAGTGTTAAGGGGGAAACCAAGGAAGGGACAGTGCGGGCGGTGACCGTATCTGCAAGAGAGTCGCGGACATGAGCTACGCAGCCCCAAACGTGAAACGCAGACGCATCACCAGGGGACCCTGTCCAGAGGAGGGTCGGTGAAACCTGCGGGCGCGGTCACGGGGCCATAGGTTAAGCTGGTGTGCGGCGTAGGGGACTGCGAACGGCCACAGAAAATGGGGGCCACCGGCATGGATCATGGAGGTATGAGCCACCTCCATGACCAAAACGATGTGACGCTCAGCGATCCCATTATGCTGCGGGGAGTCCGGAAGTGTGTACAACTGGGTGATGCCCTCCGCACGACAAAACTGGCCAAGCCGACCGGAGGCGAACTCACCTCCTTGGTCGGAGTGTAGACGGAGCACAGTCTGGGCGCGGTGGACTCGGGTAGTTACAAGCCACGGGATAAGAACGTCAAGCATGCCGGTCTTCCGCTCTAGGGGAAACACCATGGTGTAGTGCGAGTAGTCATCCAGGAGAACCAGGAAGTAGTGCTCGCTGCGCGGCCTAGAGACCGGGGCTGGGCCCTAGAGGTCCATGTGCAGAACCTGAAGTGGCGGAGTGGTGAGGGGAAACGAGGAGTGAGGAGCAGCGCGCTGCCGCCTCTCGACGCACGGCATGCATCAAGGACATCTAAGACAAGACCTTGCTGTGACATGTAATGGAGATGCAGGAGAGCGGGGTGACGTAGACGATGGTGCAATAGTAGCGACGGGTGAGTGAGCGATCGACACGAGCAAGCCGCAGCGACCTGCATAGACGCAGCCATTTAGGGGGACGCAACCACCTGGGGGACGCGGTGTGCAGCGTGCCAGACACACGGTCCTGGGGAAACGTGGTGAGGGGAGCACCAGTGGCGGCCTCTATACAGATTGCATACCGCTCGTGTCGAGGAAACGTGGTGGTGACCCCGAGGTCCCGAAGTCGGCCTACACCAACCAGGTTCTTGAAAAACGAGGGGATATGCAAACATGTAAGAGAGGCAGAGGGAATTGCCAGACAAGGAAGTATGGTGGATCTGCGTGCGACTACCGGACCTGAAGAGGGGTCTACAAGGGAGACTGCTGCCGGTGCAGGAAGTGGTGTGACCATAGTGTGGTCACAAAAGAAGCAGGCAGATGCACCAGAATCCATCGTAAAGGAGAGCGCGGCAGTCGCATCGGCCAGCGGGGGCGCACGTGTGGAACCAAGGCTACACAAGAGAGCATGATAATAGGGTCTACTAATACTAGAGTCATCAGCAAACATCGAATACATAGCAGATCCTATCTGATCCATATCCAGCTCAAAGACCGGCACATGACGATGCACCAGGGCGGGCCAGTCCGGGAGGGCCAACGTGGGCTCAAAGCGGAGACGGAAGAGGTCTCGAGGCGGTGGTAGCAGCGGGCGGCGATGTGACCGGTGCGGTCACAGACGGTGCCACGGAGGGGACCATACTGAATCTGATACAGACTACTCACCTGACTAGAGCCACCACCCGACACCCAGCTGTCGGGGCCGCCTCCGCGGCCACCACCACTGCTGCTGCTGTGAGCGCTGCTGCTATTGCTGGGTCAATTGCTACTGCTGCTGACACTGCTGCACCGCTGGGGCGTCAACCCCCATCCCCTCGTCCACAACCCCAGCGCTCCCACCACCCCTACCACCCCCACCACCATTACCACCACCACCCCCATCACCCTTACCTCTCCCACGCTTCCCCTTTGGGCGACAAAACCCTCTTCCCTGAAGTGGATATGCTGAGGCCGCCGCAGCGGTCTCAGCGATAGTGGCTGTCTCAACGGCAGCGGTGGAAACGTCGGAGTAAGTGCATTGGGAGGGAGCACAACCCTGGAAGATAGGGACAGCCGCAGCACCGCTAGACCGAGTGATAGTGCGCTGGCGGCTCACTATCACCGTCAGGGAGGCAACTAAGTCATCAAGGGTAAGGTCAGCAAGGTGGAGACTAAGGAAGGTGTCACGGGCAATGGCTAGGAAATAAAGGGTGGCGCCTAGGGGAGGTGGGAGTATAGTGAGGTGAGCCTCAGTGCTAGCAGTGCGGTAGCTAGTCTCTCGAGCGCGCACGTGGTTGGCCAGATCAGCGACAGTGGGAAAGGAAGTTAGGTCAAGGAAGAGTAAGGGCAGGAGGAGACAGCCAGCAAAACTAGAGGAGGTAGTGAAATAGCG